GAAGCTGTGTGTTGGTGTTGAGATGGAGATCTCTGGGAGATTTTCGCCGTTTGATATTATGTGTAGCTGGGAGGTCTCTTGTTGACCAGTGTCCTGAAGTTGGCTCTCCTACTTCAGAGGCAGAGCCCTGACTCCTGGCTGGAGCACCAAGAGCCTTTCATCCACACGGCTCAGAATAAAAGGGAGAAAAAGTAGAGAGAATTAGTAGAAGTATGAATAATGAAAGAAAGAAAGGAGGGAAGGAAGGAAGAAAGAAAGAAAGAGGCAAAGAAGGAAAGAAGGCAAGAAGGAAAGAAAGGAGGGAGGGAGGGAGGGAGGAAGGAAGGAGGGAAGGAAGGAAAAATGACAGAAAGAAAGAAGATACAGTAAAATAATATAAAGTATAATAAAGTTATTGAATTAAAAAATAATTATTTAGGAAAAAAAAGGGACGGATAGAACCTTAGGACAAATGTTGGAAGCAAAGCTATACAGACAAAATCTTATACAGAAGCATACACATACACCCTCACAAAAAGAGGTAAAGGGGAAAAAATCATAAATCTTGCTCTCAGAGACCACCTCCTCAATTTCGGATGATTCGTTGTCTAAAGGAGGGAGGGAAGAAGGGAGGGAGGGAGGGAGGAAGGAAGGAAGGAAGGAAGGAAGGAAGGGGAAAGAAAGAAAGAAAGTAAAGTATAATAAAGTTATTATAATTAATTATTAAGAAAAAAATGAAAAACCATGGACGTTTAGAATCCTAGGACAAATGGTGGAAGCAAAACTATGCAGACAAAATCTCACACAGAAGTATACACATACACATTCACAAAAAGAGGAAAAGGGGAAAAAATCATAGATCTTGCCCTCGAAGCCCACCTCTTCAATTTGGGATGACTCGTTGTGTATTCATGTATTCCACAGATGCAGGGTACATCAAGTTGATTGTGGAGCTTTAATCCGCTGTTTCTGAGGCTGCTGGGAGAGATTTCCCTTTCTCTTCTTTGTTCTCACAGCTCACAGGGGCTCAGCTTTGGATTTGGCCCTGCCTCTGCGTGTAGGTCGCTGGAGGGCATCTGTTTTTTGCTCAGACAGGACGGGGTTAAAGGAGCCGCTGATTCGGGGGCTCTGGCGCACTCAGGCCTGGGGGGAGGGAGGGGCACCGCCTGCAGGGCGGGCCTGGGGCGGCAAAGGCCGGTGTGACGTTGCACCAGCCTGAGGCCCACCGTGCGTTCTCCCGTGGAAGTTGTCCCTGGATCCCGGGAACCTGGCAGTGGTGGGCTGCACAGGCTCCGCGGAAGAGGGGTGTGGAGAGTGACCTGTGCTCACACACAGGCCCCTTGGTGGCGGCAGCAGCAGCCTTAGCGTCTCCCGCCCGTCCCTGGGGTCCGTGCTTTTAGCTGCGGCTCGCGCCCGTCTCTGGGGTTCGCGCTTTTAGCCGCGGCTCATGCCCGTCTCTGGAGTTCCTTTAAGCAGCGCTCTGAAACCCCTCTCCTCGCGCACCAGGAAACAAAGAGGGAAGAAAAAGTCTCTTGCCTCTTCGGCAGGTGCAGACTTTTCCCAGGACTCCCTCCCGGCTAGCCGTGGTGCACTAACCCCTTCAGGCTATGTTCAAGCCGCCAACCCCAGTCCTCTCCCTGCGCTCCGACCAAAACGCGAGCCTCAGCTCGCAGACCCGCCCGCCCCGGCGGGTGAGCAGATAAGCCTCTCGGGCTGGTGAGTGCCGGTCGGCACCGATCCTCTGTGTGGGAATCTTCCCGCTTTGCCCTCCGCACCCCTGTTGCTGTACACTCCTCCGCGGCTCCAAAGCTACCCGCTCCGCCCGTGAAGGGGCTTCCTAGTGGGTGGAAACTTTTCCTGCTTCACCGCTCCCTCCCACTGGTGCAGGTGCCGTCCCTATTCTTTTGTCTCTGTTTTTTCTTTTTTTCTTTTGCCCTACCCAGGTACGTGGGGAGTTTCTTGCCTTTTGGGAGGTCTGAGGTCTTCTGCCAGCCTTCAGTAGGTGTTCTGTAGGAGTTGTTCCACGTGTAGATGTATTTCTGGTGTATCTGTGGGGAGAAAGGTGATCTCCGCGTCTTACTCTTACGCCATCTTCAAGGTCCCTCCCCCCTCATTTCTATTTTTGTAATTTTTAAAGGAATGGAAATTACACATTTATTTAAGATCAGATTTCAGTGAAATCATTTTGTTGTATGCTTGTGGAGGAGAAAACATGTCTGAATATTTGAATTCTTCCTAAAGCAGTGGTTCCTAACTTATGAGTCTCAGACTCCTTTAAATATCTAAGGAAATCTACGGTGTTTTGCAGAGAAACTTCCTTAGAGAAACTCATAAAATGTTGTATATAATTTCAGGGTATTCATGGGCTCTCCTGAAACCCAGTTTTGGACCCATGGATTCCAGATTAAGAGGCATTCAAGAATTTTAAAATTCTTCAATATTTTCCTTAATCATTCACATGTTGTTAAGAATTTTTAGCACACATTGATTTATTTTACATTTTTTATTAACTTACCCTTATTTTACTGTGAACAACTGGTTTTACTTCGGATTGTAATGTGCACTATTCTTCCAATAGTATGATTACTTTTTGAAACATTTCACACCTTTCATGCTATTGGTTTTGTCCCCTTATTCTCAGGTATAAAGGCCTTAATATTTAGAAAATAATAAAAATCATTATGACAATAATAATAGCAGCTAACATTTATTGAGTGGCTATTTTGTGCCAGACACTGTTCTGCATGCTTTACTTCCATTCTTTTGGTTAATTCTCACCACAGCCCTTTGAATTAGATGCTCTTATTCCCACATTATAAATGAGAAAATTGAGGCAATGAGAGGTTAGGTAACTTTTCCAATTTCACATAACAATATTGTTTTCTTTCAGGCACTAGTTGAGGAGCTAGATCAAGAGAGAGAGAAGAGATGGAAAGCTGAACAAACTGAAAAGAAACTTATGGATTATATTGATGAACTGCATAAACATGCAAATGAAAAAAAAGATATTCATAGCCTGGCTCTTCTTACTACAGACAGGTAAGGGGAAAGTCTGTATACCTTAAGTTATCTCATAGCGCAAAGAATGCTGAACTTGGAACTGGAATGCCTTAGTTTAAACTAGCTGTAGTATGATAAAAAAAAACTATGCATATGGTTTTAGTTTGAACTAATTTAAAGATTTAGGGCTTTGTCAGTTTTTTACATTAACAAAGGATTCAGGATATTAATTTGAGCCCTCAAGCTGGGAGATGTCAGATCGATAAAAAAAAAGTATTATAAGTGAAAAACAGGAAGAGTGTAGAGCTGAGATTGGCAGACTTTTTCTGTAAAGGACGGGGCTTGGCACATTTTTTCTTTAGGCATTCTGGGTCATAATCAGTCTCTGTTGCATATTCTTCTCAACAATGGGCTTCAGTACCAGATAACCCAAGTTTCTTAATTCTAATGTTTTCATTCCATCTTATTCCATTTCCCATTTTATCTCTTTTTTTTTCTGTAGTAAATTATGTAATACAGGATTGTCTTATTCCAAGATGTGCGAATACCAAACGGTTTTCTGAAATAACAATAACTTTTTTCTTCTGTTTCCTATAGGCAATTATTTCAAAAGTTATGCTTTTCCTTAAAAGGTTATAAGATTTTTTCCATGGGATTCCTTTCAATTTTTATCTCTTCTCCTTGAATGAGCACCGGGTTTCTAGACTTGGTGTTTGCCAACAAATAGGGCTTAGGAAGTTGCTCTTGGTTCCATTTCTTAGCTGCTTATACAGTAGATAATTCCCTTCCTACAATCTTCATTCATTAGTAAGTTGATGTACACGGCTCCCAGCCCAATTCCCAGGTTCTTTTAAGCATTTAACTAGTAAAGTTGTGTGGTACTGATGTGGTATTTTCTACCCCTCACTACCTGATTCTCTGATTCTTTGTACTTATAGAATATAAGGAAAATTACAATACCAAACGTGTTCCATGAAAACCTCTGTAATTACACAAGCTATGATGCTTTGTGCTATTACTAGCCAAACCACCACTACCCACCAATTTCTTGCCTTATACAAGACAGTGCTGGACAGGGGTAAAGGAACAGAATGGATAAAATAACTGTCCTCTGACCACCTCAGAAGAAACAGCACTTTTGTTTGCAGTAGGTGCATAGGTAGCCAACATAGTTTAATGATAGATTTATAGAGACTGTGTGACTCAATGAGTCACAGTCATAGAATGAAAGAGAGGGTATATCTTTTTTTTTTTAATCCAGAAAGATACAAGGCAAAGCCTGAGTGTTCTAAGAGCTGTTATTATTTTAAGTTAGTTCCATTTGCCTTATTGTTGAAATTCCTCCCTGATTTTGGCACTATGTTTTCTCTTGTTTAGAGTCATATGTGTATGAATTTTTGTTTTATTCTGTTTTGTAGGTATTATCTAGTGGAATATTAGAGGAAGTTATGTCTGGGGTTGCTAGCCAAATTCTATTTTAATTGGAAAGCTTTGGGCACACCTCATCTTTATCCTTCTTTAACCTCTTTGCTGTTGTGCCATGTTCCCTGTGTTACATATTTGTTGTTCTCTTGGAAATTCATCTTCAATCTTTTCTGATTCTTTTTTCATTTATACCCCAAATGTTTTTTGGGGATTAGATCCTCACCAATCTTCATATTCCCTTATGTGACTTGGTAGGGACTCTGTTTTCCTCATACCTAAGACAGGGTCTAGCATCTAGGTACCATGCTGTGAGTATATATTATCTCAAAAAGTGAATCTTCTTTACTATGCTTTTAATACCTAACCAATAAGCTCCCAAATCTTTTATCTGTTTTATAGGCCTCCTTGATTAACACATTGTTCATCTAGTCATCTACTAAAAATTTCTTGTCTACATTGCTTATAAGTGTCTTAAGATCAGCATGTCCTTAGGTTGACTTTTTCCTGCTCCCTTATTCTGTATTCTTTGTTCTAATAAATGGTGTTCTGGTCAGCCACCAAAGCTAGAAATTTCAGAATGATGTTTTTTGCTTCCTTTCTCATTCTCAAACTTCATAACCAGTTGGTATTGATACCGTCTTCATTCTGCTTAAACGGTGTTGAACTATCTCCTCTCTATCCCCAAACGGTTGCGTCAGTTTAGGCCCTTATCTCTTGATTAGAGGATTTCTCTAATTTTACTGATCGGTAGCTTCTCTGCCCCTTCCACCATATGGTCCACAGAATAAAGTCCAATATTCTTTCATATAACATACCAAACTAGAGTTGAGAGTGAACAAAGGAAGACCAGTTTGGAGACGACTCTCAAAGGCAAGAGGACAGGAATTGGAGAAATGACTGTAGTATAGAAGCTGATGAGTGTAGGGATTTTTCTCAATTATGGCTTGGCAATTATAGTAGGTACACATTGGAGTGGCTGCCTAGCTCAGAAATTCCTTCATGAGGCTATATCTTTGCTATTCGTTGTCCCCTTTTCAAACACTTGACTTCTGTTCTGTCATGAACTGCCTCTCTGCCTATAATATTGGTTAAGAGGTGAGCCCCTGGCCTTAGCCCACATGGCCACAGTGACCGCTGCATGGAGTGGGCATATGAACCAAATTGGACTAACCAGAGCCTTTCCCAGAGCTCAGTTCTAAGTTGAAAACCAGCCTGTAGGGAATCAGAGAGAGAGACCTGATGGTATTCATATCCTTGGTTTCAGCTGTGCCTCGGAATAGTGCCACCCCAGCCTCTGAATTGGTTATGTGGGTCAATAAATTCTCCTTTCTTACTGAACCTAGTTAAGAGTTTTTAGTCAAAAGGCTCTAAGTAACACAGAGGTAGTATAGTACTAGGATATAATACTTAGTGTCTGGGGAAGATACAGGGAAGTCAGAGTTGACTTCCAGGTATCTGTTCAGATATTGCTTCTCTCCTGTAGCTTTCTTTATAAATGCATCAGTGTCCCCTCTGCTAGATATTAAGCTCCTTGAAGACCAGGCTGTATCTTATTCATCTTGCTTGCTTTTAAGCTGACATCTAGCACAATGCCTGAAAAAATGTGTTTTGTAGTTTTGCTGTTGAATAGTAAAGTTCACATAAGATAAAGTTTCATTAATTTATTTTTTTCTCAATCTCAATATTTTATTTTTCAGCTTTGTTGAGGTATAACTGACAGATAAAAATTGTATATATTTAAGATGTACAATGTGATGTTTTGTTATACATTGTGAAATCATTACCACAGTCAAGCCAATTAATATATCCTTCACCTCATATAGTTGTTTTTTTGTGTGTTAAGAATACTTAATATCTACTTGCTTAGAAAATTTCAAGTATACAATGCATTACTTTTAACTTTAGTCACCATGTTGTACATTAGGTCTCTGGAACTTACTCATAACTGAAAGCTTGTACCCTGTGGCCAACATTCCCCCCACTCCTGACCCTTGGTCGCCACTATATAGTCTACTCTCTGTTTCTATGAGTTCAACTTTTTTTTTTAATATTTATTTATTTATTTTGGCTGTGCCAGGTCTTAGTTGTGGCACGCGGGATCTTTAGTTGCATCATGCGGACTCTTAGTTGCAGCATGCATGCAGTATCTAGTTCCCCAACCAGGGATCGAACCTGGGCCTTCTGCATTGGGAGTGTGGAGTTTTACCCACTAGACCACCAGGGAAGTCCCATGAGTTCAACTTTTTTTAGATACCACATATAAGTGATATCACCAGTTATTTCACTTAGCATAATCTCCACGTTCATCCGTTTTGTCACAAATGGCCAGATTTCATTCTTTATTAGGCTGACTAATATGGCATGCATTTATTTATTTATTTATTTATTTATTTATTTATTTATTTATAACCTTTTAATCCATTCATGCATTAATAGACATTTAGGTTGATTCCATATCTCGATACTGCAAATAATGCTACAGTGTAGATGGGAATGCAGGTTTCTCTTTGAGATACTGGTTTCACTTCCTTTGGATATATACCCAGAATTGGGATTGGTGGATCCCACTTTTATGGTAGTTCTGTTTTTAATTTTTTGAAGAACCTCCATGCTATTTTCCATAATGGCTGCACCAGTTTAAATTCTCACCAACAGTGTATAAGACCTCCCTTTTCTCCATATCCTCACTAAGACTTGTTATATTCTGACTTTTGGATAATAGCCATTCTAACAGGTGTGAGGTAATACCTCACTGTGGTTTTGATTTGCATTTTCTTGATGAATAGTGGCATTGAACATGTTTTTATATACTTTTTGGCCATTTGCGTATTTTTGGAGAAATGTCTATTCAGGGGTTTTGCCCATTTTAAAATTGGTTTATTTGTGGTTTCTCTGCTTTTGAGTTGTATGAATTCTTTACATATTTTGGATATTATCCCATTATCATATATATGGTTTGCAAATATTTTTTCCCATTTGTCATGTTGCCTTTTTAGTTTCTTGATTGTTTCCTTTGCTGTGCAGAAACTTTTTATTTTGATGTAGTCCTACTTGTTTATTTTTGCTTGTTCATGCTTTTGGTGTCCCCATGGAAAAATCATTTCCAAGATCAATATCATGGAGTTTCCTTCTATGTTTTCTTCTAGGAGTTTTATGGTTTCAGGTCTTATGTCTATGTTCTTAACCCAGTTCGTGTTGATTTTTGTGTATGGTGTAAGATAAGGCCCAATTTCATTTTTTTTCATGTAGATATCCAGTTTTCCCCATACCATTTATTGAAGAGACTGTCCTTTCTCCACTATATATTCTTAGGGTCTTTGTTGAAAATTAGTTGACCATATATGTGTGGGTTTATTTCTAGGTTTTCTATTCTGTTCCATTGGTCAATGTGTCTGGTTTTGTGCCAGTGCCATACTGTTTTAGTTACTACAGCTTTGTGGTTTTTTTTGTTTTTTTTTTTATTGCAGTATAGTTGCTTTACAATGTTGTGTTAGTTTCTGCTGTGCAGCAAAGTGAATCAGTTATATGTATACATATATCCACTCTTTTTTAGGTTTCCTTCCCATTTAGGTCACCACAGAGCACCGAGTAGAGTTCCCTGTGCTAAACAGTAGGTTCTCATTAGTTATCTATTTTATACATAGTAGTATATATATGTAAATCCCAGTCTCCCAATTTGTCTCACCCCACCCCCCTTGGTAACCATAAGTTTGTTCTCTACATCTGTGACTATTTCTGCTTTGCCAATAAGTTCATCTGTACCATTTTTCTAGATTCCACATATAAGCAATATTATACGATATTTGTTTTTCTCTTTCTGACTTAAGTTCACTCTGTATGACAATCTCTGGGTCTGTCCATGTTTCTGTAAATGGCACTATTTCATTCCTTTTTATGGCTGAGTAATATTCCACTGTATATATGTACTATATCTTCTTAGATAAAGTTTCATTGATTTATGTAAAATGTTTTCCCTCTTGGCCCAATGCTAGTTTCAGGGATGGGCGAAAGGCATACTGTTTTTCAACGTTTTTTATCTAAGGAGAATTTGGAACATACTTCAAATCTTCCTCTCTACTGTAACTTTTAATGTTTAGTACAGTTTTTATCTTTCTATATGTGTAATATACTTAAAGCAACGTTTGATTTATGCTTTAGGCTAAAGGAAATTATTTTTAAAGAGAGAAATTCCAAACTACAACTCGAAATTATGGTTCACAGTCTTCAAAATGAAATTAAAAAACTAACTATTGAATTAATTAAAGCAAGAGATCAACAAGAGGATCACGTTAGACACTTAATAACCCTGGAAAAAGCATTAGAAAAAAAGGAGAGACAAAAAGGGCAACAGCAAGCAGCACAGGTATTTCTCTATTTTACTCTATCAGTCCCATGAATTAACACATTCATAGCTTCTGTCCTGAAACAAATTATGCCATTATATGGTAAACATAAAGGATGTTAGGCTGAATGCAAAAATTAGTTTAAATGTGCCAGTAATTTAACCTATGGAATCATTTCTTCAATTAGGGCTGCCAACATTCACAAAGCAGAGTTGGTGGAAATGCTGCAGGTTGTTAGGCTTGTGTTTAAGAGCCAGTTTTTAAATGTCTCCTTGGGGTACTTGGAGACTTTTAATTTTCATGCCTTCTGAATGGAAATTTTCAATAAAGTCTGTGGTGAAATACGAGTTAATGCTAATGTGTTTGATGCTTCTAAGACTACACTTTATGAGACCATAGCATTTAATAAATTTTGAAAATCAACTTAGTCCCTAGGTCCTATTATTTAGAAGGCACTTGTCTTTGGGCAACTGACATTAAAATAGAAGCAGAGGAGATTATTATCTAAATACTGTAATGGTGTGTATTTTACTCAGATGCGACTTATCCAAGAGGTGGAACTCAAAGCCGCAGCTGCTGATAGAGAAATAAACTTACTTAGAACTTCTCTTCATCAAGAAAAGGAACAGGTGCAACAACTTCATGAACTTCTTGCATTGAAAGAACAAGAACACAGGTAAATGAAATATGTATATTTTAGGAAAATATGGACATTTAAAAATAGGAAAAAGTTATTTGGTTTTACCCCCTGCCCCTGCCAAGACTAGACAGTGATTGAGCAGTGGTGAAGTCTGGCACAGTTAGCTCATGGAGAATGACATGTTTATGTATGCTTTAGAATCAGTCTTAGAGTTAGAACTAGTAGCTTAAAAACAAATCAGTAACTTTATTGAGGTTGAGGTATGGGCTTATAGCAATGAAGCTCATTTTCCATTTCTCTAAGCCCAACTAAAAATTGATCATTGTAATATAGAGAAAGCTGTTTTAATTGACTTCCAAGTAACTACTTGTTAAATTATCAGTATTCTTTATCCCTTTGAAGCAGGCTTCAACAAACTTTCTCTGTGAAGGTCCAGATAGAAAATATCAATATTTTAGGCTTTTCAGGTCATGCCTAGCTATCTCTTTGTACCACAAAAGTAACCATAGACAGCACATAAATGAATGGGCATGGCTGTGTTTCAGTAAAAATTTACTTCCCCACAAGAAGGACAGCAGGCCAGATTTGGTCTATGGGCTATAGTTTGCCAACACCTGCTTTTTAGAGTCCACAGTAATTTAAGCACATTCAGCTAGTTATCTGCTTACTACCAGTTGAATTGTATGATTGCCATGAGTTAATTGTGTTTGTTCTCAGGCCTATTTTGGTTTTGTCCTTGTATAAATCAAATTTTAATATATAAATTAAATTTTGATGCTCTGGGGAAAATTGTCATCATATGTGTGGTCAAGACAACTATAAAAGATTGGGGGGCAAATAATCACAAAAATCTAAAAATTGGCACTTAATTTTCTTTTCAGATATCTTTTAACATGTTCTAGTTTAAAGAAACCAAAACCAGAAGTAATGGGTTTTGTTTTATGAGTTTGATTTATTCAAGAAAAATAATGGAGAACTCTGAAGAATGAATTCACATTGAAATTAAAAAACTGGCCCTATATTAAAAGATTGGTGAAATTTCACACATAACTGTTGTTTTCAATTAACCAGCCACCAGGACCAGTCAGACTGTATTTATTGTATGTCAAAGACTCAACCAAAGTAGGAGATGCAGTGAGACAGAACCTGACTTCTGTGAATGCACCCAAAGAATTTTAGAAACCATAAAATGATTCTGAACTATCTCAGTGAAGTTAAGATTTGGCATACTCCTCTTATCCCTGTCACCACTGAATATGCAATCAAAACTCATATTCTTTCTGTATCTACCATCCTATCTCTAGTTTTCTGTGTGTGAAAGTGAGGAGCTGATCTTTAACAATAGGGAATATAGAACATTTAATAACTATTTAAAAGACCTTTAAAGTTTTTCTTTCCAGATAAACAGCATCCTGTGATTTTTATTTGTTTTTCATCCAGGAAAGACCTTGAAACAAGGGAGTTTTTTAGTGAAGCTGAGTTCCAGGAAGCCTTAGCTAAAGAAATTGCTAAAGAAGAGAGAAAACATGAACAAGTTATAAAAGAATACCAAGACAAAATTGATGCATTAAACCAACAGTATATGGATTTAGAAAATGAATTCCGTATTGCTTTAACTGTTGAAGCCAGAAGATTTAAAGATGTAAGAATGGCGTCTAGCTTTTTATTGAAAACAGAATCAACAAGATATGGTTTGATAAGAAGACTACATTTTAGAATTCTAGCTCTATTTGCATGTTGGCTATATGATCTTAACCAAATTACTTAAATTCTTAGAGCCTTATTTTTTCACATAAATAATAGCTAATCTTCAGTGCTATTGCCAAAGCTAAGTGAGGTTATAAATGGTCAAGTAAAGAGAGCACAAATAGGAATTAGGAAACCTGAATTCTCTATTACTATAGAGCAGGGATTGGCAAACTAAAGTCTCCAGGCTCTATAAATAAAGTTTTATTAGAACAGAGTCATGCCCACTTGTTTACATAGTATCTGTGGCTGCTTTTATGTTATAATAGCAGGGTTGAGGACTTACAACACAAACACATATGGCCTGGCTAGCCTGCAAAGCCAATTATCTGTCAATTTTATTCTGATTCTAAAAATGAAAGAAGTAAGCTGTTTCCAGAAACAGGTATTTTCCAAATATTTGCAGAACTGCTATTTATAATGCAATTTTGAAATATAGGTTAAAGATGGTTTTGAAAATGTTGCAACTGAATTAGCAAAGAGCAAGCATGCTCTTGTTTGGGCTCAACGAAAAGAAAATGAATCTTCCTCTTTAATTAAAGATCTAACCAGTATGGTGAAGGAACAAAAAACAAAGCTGGCAGAAGTTTCTAAATTGAAACAGGAAACAGCAACAAATTTACAGGTAGGACATTGTAACATTATATTTCCTTTTTAATTTTTTATGTCATTTTCTCAAGAATATTGTGATGATTTGAGGAAGTACACAATTATGAACTAGATAACACTACTTATATATTCTTAACGTGTGTGAAAAGTAATATAATTAGGAGATAAACCATGATTGCACAGATTGTATCGCTTACACTAAAATAGTATTTAAGTAAAATAAGTGAATTAATTTTAAGAAGCATACTAAGTAAATGTACCAGTTTTACAGTGATACAGGTAGTTGAAGTTTGGGAAATACATGAATTGTTGATATATTAATTTTGTGGTAGTGGTTGTTTTTACATATACCTAACTATAATAATTTTTTAATTACTTTATTTCTGTTCTCTCAATTTTAAATATTAGTGGTATTTTGCCCAAAAGGACTCACTTTCTATAAGTAACCTTTAGACTATTGATATAAATATTCAATATTTGTTGAGAAATTTTGAGTATTACATGTGTAGTTGCTCTTTTAAGATATTAAATAAAATTCAGAGCATTTAAAGGAGTAGGCTCTTAAAATTTGACTTTTTATTTCATGACCTACATTTATCTTTAGTTAATAAAATTTAAACATTTTTTGATGTAAAATTTAGGAACATTTACTTTGTATTTGCTTAAATAGCATTTTTTCTCATAAAATGCAAAAAGAAAATAAAAGCTTAAATATAATAATTACTTTGCATTTTTTTTCAATGTGTTTTGGTGGTATACAGAATCAAATCAACACACTTGAAATTTTAAGTGAAGATGACAAGCAGAAGAGTATTCAAATAGAACTTCTCAAGCATGAAAAAATGCAGCTTATTTCCGAACTAGCAGCCAAGGAATCGCTAATTTATGGTTTAAGGACAGAAAGAAAAGTATGGGGACATGAGTTGGCACAACAGGGTAAAATTCTCAATTTTCAAAGGGAAAAAATAGCCCATTCTGCTAATCCAACAAATCCGGGTATTAGAAAAGGAAGGGCTTAACTCTGCCTAGACATACCAAGAAAGAAGGTGACACTGTATATGAAAGGAGAAGTAGTCATTTGCCAGTCAAACAGGAATGAAATTATACTTAGGAATTGGGAAGTAGTTTATTACACCTGTTACGAAGTTATAGCTCTGATTTTTTTGCTGTTGGTTTTCTTCCCCACTATAATTTGGTTACGTTTCTGAACAGGTATACATTTCTTTCTTATCTAGTGATTTTAAATTATTTGTACATATGCAGCATTCATTTTTTTTTAGCTAAAAATGTTGCTAACATTTATGTTGTTATATGTGGAGAAATGTGAAATCGTTTATGAATGAAAACCACTTTAGGTTCAGATAAACTTACCCTCAGTCTCATTCCCTTTCCAGTCACCATAAGGCAAGAGATATACACCATTTTAAGGCATTCTTAGAGACTTCACAATTATGAATAGTAGGTGTTGGCCTAAATGGAACATTGTTCATTTGTCCATTCCATATAGAAATCTATAATATGATTTTGTTTGGACAGCATAACATGACCCATTAAATATTTCATGTCTGAGTTACTTGTTCATGATTTGTGGTTTTAGGTTCTCAAATAGCCACAGTTGTTTAGAAGGCCTTTTTGTTCTTTTCCCCTTTCCTCTTCATATTGTACTATTATATATTTTGTTTCTTTATTCAGCTTTTCTTTTTATTTACTATATTATACATTGTAAAATTAGATGTTCATAAAATATAAATTCTCCAAGGTCTTTTTAAGTTTTTTACTGATGACGTTTGTTTCTTAGGATCTTCTCTAGCCCAAAATCATGGGAGACTAGAGGCTCAAATTGAAAGTTTGTGTAGGGAGAATGAATCTCTGCGAAAGGCAAGTGAACGTGATAATGACACATTAAGAATTAAGTGCAAAATCATAGAAGACCAAACTGAAACCATTGGAAAATTAAAAGAAGTAAGTTTGACATTTTATTATAGGAAAAGGACATGTGGAAAGTTTGAAAGATCTGTGGATCATAGTATAATAATAAATATTTGTCTCAGTGCATCCCAGCTGTTATGGAATTTAAGACATATTATCATGTTTTTTCTTTTATGTTTGCCTCTTTGCTTTTAAAAGTTATATATGACATTTATTTATTAACTTATTAACTTGAAATTACTTTTACCTCAAAACTTTATGGAAAATGTTATGGCCCTTTGAAATAATTGGAAGTAGTGTCCATAAAGGGTTAGGAACCACAAAAACAAATATTTTATTTAAACTTTTCATTGTTTAGTATCTTCCAATATTGCTAATTCACATTTCGAAATTATGACAGAACCTGCTATCCTATATTTTAAAGTATCTGAATAGAAAGAATGTAAAAGATTCTTGCTTGTTCCCAAGGGAAACCGTTTTTACCCTCTTCTTCAATATGGCCTATCTTAAGAGAGAATACTAACAGGATCACTTGCTTCAAAGTATCTTACATGAAAATTTCCAAAGAAATATTCTGAAAGTTAGCTTGAACAGTGAATCAAATTTGAACTCCAAAATTTTCTTCTAGAGATTATCTTTAAGGTATAAAAATAGCTGAGAAAGGGTTTTTAAGAAACTTGTAAGTGAGATTATCACCCATAAAGTTAGGAACTCATTCTTTACAGTAATTATAACTACCTAAGATTTGATTTTTTTTTTCCTTTAGTCATTTTTAAGAAACTCCTTGAGAACTTAACTTCGTCAAGTACAGAAAATAGAGAAACATATTTATCACCATGTTGCTATATCCATAGCTAGATTTAGGCTGTGAATGATTTAACTGTATAACCCTAAACAATTATACTGGTTTTTTGGTTTTGCATGAAACCAGAATTTCAATTATATCTGTCATACATGCCAAGCTACGCTGAAAATTATTTAAATTTTTTAGCAGTGAGCATTTTTTCTTGTTTTAAAAATCTATACTTGGTATATAATACTTGTGGTTGACATAACTGCTTCCACAGTAAGACTACTGCTTATTAATCTCTGAGCAGAGTTTTGGGAGGAAATGACTAGAAATGAATAAATAGTGGAGCCAAAAAACAGATGACTTTTAGTCTTAGATTTTTGGTTAAAAAAAAAAGTTTTCAGATTTTCAACTCATCATTTTTCTTTTCACAACTTAGTACATTTACTTTAAAGAACACTGTATCAGTCTCAAAGATATGAGCATTAATGGTACATTCCATCTAATCACAGAACATACAGAGATAGCTAGGCATAATTTCTTTTAGCAGTAAATTCATCATAGCTAATAACTTAAAGGGATAATGACCTAATCTGCAAAATTTGGAGTTCAGTGTTTTCAATTAAGTAGATCCTGTAGTTAGCTTCTGACTATGGAAATTAGAAACAAATCTTTTGAGATTTGGTTTCCTCCTGTGTATTATTTTGGTACTTTTAAGTATGGATCACAAAATTCTCTGATGCTACAATGTTATTCTTTCTATTAATGGGGTTTTTCATAAGAATCTTCTATAGCTTTTGTGGATTCCTAATATAATATGTGTCAAGACTGCTTTCCTCGAAGTACTTACTTAAGTATTACTCTTAAGTACGAGAGTTGTGAGGAGAAAATAAACAATTCATGCCTTTTATGCAAATGTTGGTCAAGACTAGAAGACTACCTGATATCTTTGCTTAGAATTTTTAGATATATAACACACTGAGGAATTGAACCACATTTTTTAAAATAGTGATGAATTCATGCCTAAATTAGCCTTGTTCAGTATTTGTTTGTTTGCCTCCATCTTCTTCCCAAAGGGAAAAAAAGGCAAGGTGGGGCAGGGGAAACAGGGTAAAAACAAAAACTGCCAATTTCATCTTTTCTCACTTTCAGAGACTAATATCAGTAGTTGGTGTTATAGCAGGGCTGTTCCTGCCGTCCAGGCATACCCCCTTAAAGCAAACATGTTCATTGAAGTAAATAACCCATATAAGGCCTAATACCTGCAAACACTTAACAGTGCCTAAGGCGGTCTTGAGCTTTCATTATCCTCTGATTTGTAATATGCAAATAGAGGATAAAGTATGACTCACAGTATAGAAGATATAATAAAAGGAAGTTTTGGGGGATGTAGAGCCTATTTTCATGTGACATTGTAATAGTGATGAAATCATACTTTAAAGTATTTGCTCATCCTAATGCAGAAGACCCTTGTTAGCATAGTAGAAATAGCATTTTAATTTGTATCATACATGCACAGTGAACATAAGTCTTTGCTGTATTCCATGTTAATTGAAATTTTCATTGCAGTTTTCTTTTCCTTCTACTCCCTCTGTGTGGTTGGTAGTTACTCACTTAATGAAATAAAAAGTGTAAATAGTGCATCTTTCTTAGTGGCAGTTAAAACATAGTAGTGCTATTCCTTATTGATTGTGATTTTTAAAATGTTCTGTAAATCTTTTCTAAAACATTCTTTGAATGTTCAATTTATTTTTTAATCTATAGTTTTTATAACTTTAAACCATATTGAATTAATTAGGAAATGAGACATTCAAGATTAATAAAAATAATTATTTTTTTAAATAATGATTTTTTTTTCTGTAAAAATGAAGTGTTTACAGGAAAGAGAGGAACAAATCAAAATATTACACGAAAAGATCACTGAAATACAAAAATGTACCCAAGAACAACTTGATGAAAAATCTTCACAACTGGATGAAATAATTGAGAAACTAGAAAGACACAATGAAAGAAAAGAAAAACTGAAACAGCAGTTGAAAGTAAAGGAATTAGAACTTGAAGAAATTAGAAAAGCTTACAGGTATTTTACGAATTTCCTGTTGAGAAATTACATGTGGCTTAATAATTTCATATAACCAATTTTATTTTTTAAATTATTTCTTCTCATATTAGTACACTTAATCAGAAGTGGCATGATAAAGGAGAGCTTCTGTGTCATCTTGAAATGCAAGTAAAAGAAGTGAAAGAAAACTTTGAAAACAAAGAAAGGAAACTTAAAGCAGAAAGAGACAAAAGTATTGAACTGCAAAAGTAAGGATTAAGTCCTAAAGTATGTGGGATATCTTTAAACATAAAACTGAATTGGGATGGGTGGGTTGTGTAGGACGGCGGGGGGATGGGGGTGAGGAGGGTAAAAACATGCTGCACATAGGTATTTGCCAAGTACTTTATTTCCATTCCATCTATAAAATGATTATAATAGTTCCTACTTTAATGTTTGATGTGAGGTTTAAACTTTATATATATGTGTATTTATGTATATATATATGGTTTGTATGGGTTATTTAGCATTTAAATAGTGCCTGACACATAGTAATTGCTGTATAAATATTTCATTTTTATTACTGTGATTATTGTTTTCAAACTCTGTTTGAATGAAAGCAGCAAGTGATATTTTTGGCTGTTGTATGTGGAGTTTAGAGGAGGAAATCACTGACTACCAGGGACAGTGAGCTCCTGAAGAAGCTAAAACAGATTTAGGTAGCAGTTGGCCTGCACCAGCTGAGGATAAGAGTTGATTTTAAAGAAGGGGAAGGAAATGTATACATATATGCCATTGTTTTATGGATTTTATAAAATACTCTAGAGGAAATGAGGGTTTTACCCTGTAAGCTGTATAACTAGACTTGTTAAAATAATTTACAAAGTTGACTGCCTTAAAAATTAGGTAGCATGGTTTAGTGACCAGTGCTCATGTCAAGATAAGAATGGCATAGATAACATGGCATATAGGTAGCCCAAAAATCTCATATAGAGAGAGATAGGTTCCCATTATATCAAGTCTAATAGAACCTGGAAATTTGATTTCTCATATTTTAATTCTTTGAAAAGGTGTTATTTTACTCCCCAGAAAGTTTTGATTGATAATACAGTCATTTGTTTATTTGCTAATGGACCCTGTTCCACTTTGCTTTACAACCAAGCACTAATACAGAGACCTTGACTTGGAACCTATTGCAGTTTTCTTTCCTGCTGGTCACAGCTTTGCAGTTTGGAGTCCTTTTGATCCTAAAAGAAACAATCATTTCATATAACTAGCAGTTCCTAAACTTAATAAAAATCATAAAGCCTGACAATTTTTAGAATCTCTTATATTGCATTGTTTATCATGTCTTTAAGAGCAAAACAATAAAGGCCTGATTTTATACATTAATGCTTTTATGACTAAGATTGATAATATGATTTTTAATTTAATGGAATTTTAATAAAATAAGTAAATTATTCATAAGAATAGATTTTATTTGCATAGTTTCTTATAATGTATAAATCGATTTTTTTCTTATATCTTATTTTGAACCCAGCAATAATTTTGTGAGGTTGGCTGAACAGGCAGGACTATTGTGTTTTATAGTTGACAAACTTTAAACACAGAGTTTGTGACTCGCCCTTAGTCACATAGCTACCAACTGTTGCAACTGGGAATAAAAAAAAAAGACTTTTGATTCATGGTCCTGATGCTGAAAACTCATCCTCTGTACGCTGGTGCCAAATCAAGTCTCAGAGACAGAGTTTCAGGTGAAATAGAGAAGAATGGCTTTATTCCTTTGCTGGGCAAAGGGGGACACAACAGGCTTGTGCCTCAAAAAACTGTGTCCCAGCCTGAGAAGTGAGGAGTTTTATAGCAATGGTTCAAGGGCGGAGCAGCTAATAAGGATCAGGGTGTGTGCAGTGCCTGCACTCCTTTAATCTGGCCTCAGATGGTCTCCTGATGAGCTTCTCTGGTTCCTTTAATCTGGTGTCAGGTGGTCTTCTCCCTAGTCTCTGCATCCCCTCCCTTCCCTCATTAGCAACTGTTTGAATCTGTCCTTTGGAACTCAGGGAAGGTCATGGAGGCTGGAGTCTATTCCCTACAAACAAGAAATGGGGACACAGAAAGGCTTCCATGCCCAGGAGCCCCACAGGGTCCTGCTTGGTTTCAGTCCCAATGTTCAATCCACTATTACAATGGGCTGTGCCAAAACCAGGAAGTTTGTTCATTATGGACTTAACGTTTTTAATAAAATTATTCATACTTAATATAAAGGAATGGGTATTTGGCCTATAAGAAACTTTTAGCACTAAAATTTTGTGAATACTGTTTATAATTTATTAACATAGGGTTTTACCCATTAAGCATTAACATAGGGAAGTCAGACATATATGCTTACAAACTTGAACCTTCCTATAGTATATATACCTCAAATTATTATCACACTGCTAATACATGGAGGAAAAAAAGATTGATAGTAGCATCTATGAAGGTGCTTATAAACCATATTCTTAGACTCAAAATAAATGAGAACCAATGTACTCTAACTTTCAGAGGGTAATAGTGTAACAAACTTCCATTGATGTTACCTTACTCTATTCTGTTACTAAGATTCTGTTGGATGGTGAACTACTTATATCTTTAGTTACCCAAGATGGCCCTTTGCTATTTAATGGAGTTATGCTTCCATTAAAATATGAATATAAGAGCTTCCATCTAAAAAGGCAAAAAACAGCCTAATTTTTATATGTACCAGTAGATATGTGGGTTTGTTTTGTTTTTAAGGGATGCAATAGAAATGCTTCATAGTATGGATGATGCATTTAAAAAACAAGTTGATGCAATTGTTGAAGCTCATCAAGCTGAAATAATACAACTGGCAAGTGAAAAGCAGAAATGTATTGATTCTGCAAATTTAAAGGTACTGTAAGTAAAATTCACTTTGATAATCAGTATTAAATTGTTATAGCTAAGTAAATTGGATCTTTGACAATGGTAAAAGAGAAAAGGAAGCATGATTTAATAACCAAATAGATATGAAGAAAATTGCCAGTACAATCATGAAGCCAGACCAAAATGTCGGTAATACTTAGATTAGTTGTAGAATATAATTTTAATGAAACCAAGATTATAAGTTTGATTCTGATGTGCACCTGCTCCATGAACTCTGGATAAAAATTTCTGTATCCCTAGCCAATTTCAGCTGGAAGCCCCTTTGGTTACACATAGGCAAGATGAGAATGTGAATGTTAAATACAATCCATCACTACCTAGGACAAGTTCTCAAGGAGTGTTTTATTATCAATTAGGGTTCAAAACTATCAAATTTCTCATTTTAATATCATTGACAAAGGAATGGGTTAGGATGATAATAAATCAGAGGCAAACATCAAAATTACCTGCAGAGCTTTTTAATAATACATATGCATGTGCTTCCCCCTCAGACTTTCATTCACTAAGACTGGGATCAGACCCAGGTATTTTTCTCAACAGGTGCTTCTGATATGACCCCTCTGTTAAGATCCACTAGATGAGCAGACAGTTACAAATTTCCATTTTTCCCTGATTTTGAAGTAATAATAAGAAACAGATATCTTTAAGACTGGAGATTTATAAATCAGCAACTGGAAAAGGAAAAGAGTTAATAGAAAAGGGAAGTGATACTTCATATATTATAATCAAGGTTGTATAATTAAATGACATTACCTTCAGGAGTCTATGTAACCAGAAAGGGGGATTTAGGTCTTTGGAAATAATCACAATGAATAAGGAAATATAACTTGTTCAAAATTTAGTTCTTTGTTTCATTTCAAGTTAACAGATGTTTCAGATATTTTATTTAAAATCTACCGATTGTTGAACAAGAGTACATTAGGTATTACTAAATAAAGTGTAAAATTAGGCCTTTAGCTAAAAAGAAAATACTGTGTTTGATTATGGACATCTTGCCAATATGATGTAATATCAAAGGAAGGTGTTTGTTAGAGAATAGAAAAATTTCACCAAAGCTTAAATGCGGTAATCATGAAAAAAAATTGTAAGGCATCACGTAGAGGTGATCATTTAAATTAGGAAAAATGTTTTCAAAGGGAAAAAAATTAGGAAGTCTGTACTAGAGATTAGGAAGAGGGAAGTAAACAGAAAGGGATGATGATATTGGTAGTACTCTCAGGAATGTTGTATGATAGGACAGAGAGTTTCAAGCAGAAATTAATAGTATCAAATACATTGAATCCTAGGAGAATGTAGGTTAACAATAAAATCATAAGATGATCTCTCAAAAAGATGGTAATTTATAACCACCACCAGCAATTTTAGAAATGCAGTGTTTAAAGAGTTTCTTTGGAAACGGAGGTTGTTTCAGTTTTTAAAGTCAAATTCATGATTCAGCATTCATAATCAGCACAGGACAGTGGAAAGATTAAGTCAGAAGACTGGTATCATCCAAATATGCTCCTGAGAAGCTACACAACTTGAACAAGTTTTCTAAATTATAAAATAGAGTTAAAATAAATTACCATGTGTTAATCACAAGAACCTATGAGAAATAAATGGATAATACACATGTAAGTACTTTGTATACAGTATAACATTTTCCCTATTAGTATTTGAACAAGTTAACATTTTATTAACCTCTGTGCTTTAAATGGACATCACAAAATACAAAATGTATAAGAATAAATTTTTCACTTTTTTGCATTTTTTAAAATACATTTTCATTAAGAAATGTAAATGTTATAAAATTTATATGTTGATTTAGGTTCATCAAGTTGAAGAAGAAATGCGTGGACTTCTGGAAGAAACATGCAAGAACAAAAAAGCAATGGAAATAAAAATTAAGCAACTTGCTTTTGCTCTAAATCAAATTCAGCAAGAAATGTGATGGTTCTGAGAATGGATTGAATTGAAATGAACCAGCAGACCTATTGTAAAAATGATTAAATATTGTGATAGTAGTAACTGCTATGACTTTGAAATGTCTTTTTCTACACATTTCATTCTGATTATATTTTAAAAGACTTGATCAAGTATTTATTAATTGTATATGTAGGTTTTTTTATAATAAATTGTTGACAATTATGTGTATTAGAAAAACCTACCAAAATAACTAAACTTAAAACACTTTTTCTTGTTTCGGTGCTGTACATTGTTTGCTAATTACACATTTGCCTATGAGGGAAAGTATTTTAGTATTGTTAACCTTACTGTGTTGATGAAGAACTAATTATATTTATTGGTTGTCCTTTAGTTGACATAGCGCCATTCTTTTGAAAGGCTCATAAATGTAGCTAAAAAATATTTTAAATCTGTATAAGGGATGTGGTATTTTTAAGAATGCATATGTAAGTATCTCCACATCACTCATAATGACCCCTTTTTATATAATGCATATGACTTTTTCATTAAAGATTACATTTAAGGTTTTATAAACATTGTCTCAGAGGAACACTACTGTTCCACTGTCATTCTCTCATTTTTCCTTTTTAGTTACTATTTATGAAGAGAATTCTTATTTTGTAACTGGAAACAGTTTTCTTCCATTTCATATCAGTTGACTTTTACTATTTCACTTTTGTCATCTCTTACGTTCCTCTGTATTCAGAACAAAGATCTAAATACTATTTCTGAAAGAATATAATACCTAATTCTTAACTAATAGCCAGTGAACTAAGTTTTGAAAATTAAATGGAATCAGAAAAAATGTAAAGAGAGGGCCCCATTTTGTTATAGGCAAGATTTATACTGAAATCCGTGGGACATCAAGCATGTCAATATATGTAATGGGAGTCTGTGGAGGAGGGGAGGACATAAGAAATATTGGGGAAAATAATAGCTGAAAACTTCCTAAATTTGATGAAAAAGATTAACCTACAGATTCAAGAACTTCCGTAAAACCCAGGATAAGCACAAAGAGAACCACACCTAGACACTTAAGAGTCAAACTGTTGGGAAAATCTTGAAAGCAGTGAGAAAATATGATTTATTTCATATAAAGAAACAATATAACTAACAGTTGACTTCTCATCAGAAATAATGGAGACCAGAAGGCAGTGAAAGACATATATTAGGTACAGGAAGAAAAGGAACAGTACATCCAGGGCTCCCCTGGTGGCGCAGTGGTTGAGAGTCCACCTGCCGATGCAGGGGACACGGGTTCGTGCCCCGGTCCGGGAAGATACCCCACGGAGCAGCTGGGCCCGTGAGCCATGGCCGCTGAGCCTGCACATCCGGAGCCTGTGCTCCGCAACGGGAGAGGCCACAACAGTGAGAGGCCCATGTACTGCAAAAAAAGCAAAAACAAAAAAAAAGAATTCTACATCCAACAATATTATCCCTCAGAATAAATGCAAAGCAAATGAGACTAGAAGCAGTGGGCTGACAGAGTACTCAAAGAAAAAAAATTAGCTAAGAATCTTATATCCCACAAAACTATCTTTTAAACATGAAACCAAAATAAAGTCATTCCCAGGTAACAGAAAATGTGTTCCTACCAGACCCACCTTACAACAAAGGCTGAAGGAAGTTCTTAAGGCTTCAGATCCTTTCAGAAGGTGACCCTAGAGAGTAATTTGAATACACATGAGAAGAAAAAAACACCAGTAAAGGTAATTATAAAAGAATATAAATACATATTTCTTTTCCTTTCATCCCTTAGCTGATTAAAAAAGCAAATATGTAAAACAATGTGTATAATTGTATTATTGGGAGTAAAACAAAATGTAATATTTCTCAATATCAGCACAAAGGTGGGTGGAAGCAAAGCTGTACGGAAGCAAGGAAGTAACAGGAGACAGTAACTTGAAATCATAGGAACAAGTGACACCAATAATAAATATGAAAATGTAACTATATATATTTGCTCTTCTTAGACTTTAAGTTATATAAAACAACTATAAAAACAGTTGCAATTATAAAATAGATGTAACATATATAACAGAAAGCACAAAGAGGAAGAGAATAGAGCTATATAGAAGATTCTATATTTCATTGAAACTGGGTTAGTATAAATCTGTTGTATATTCCGATAAGGTATGTATAAGCCCTTGTGAAGCCATTAAGGAAGTAACTCAAATAACTAAAGAATAGAATTAAAATGTTATACTAGAAAATATTTGTGTAATACAAAAGAAGCAGAAGTAGAGCAATAAAGTATAAAGCAATTATTAAATGCAATAAAAAAGATATTTAGAAAACAAATGGCAGAAATAAGTTCAACTCATGTATAATTCAACTACATCAATAATTATGTTGTGTGACTGGATTAAATAATCCAAAAGACAAAAATAGACAAGAAAACAAGATCCAGCTGTGTGTTGCCTACAAGACACTTTCAAATATGCAAATAGGTTGAAAGTAAAAGGACAGAAAAATATATGTAAATAGCAACCATAAGAAAGATGGAGTGGCTATACTAATATCAGACAAAATAGACTTTGAAACAAAAATGTACTAGTAGGAAAGATGATAAAATGTCAATTTATCAGGAATGTATAATAATTATTAACATGGATGTACCTACTGGCATATTCCCAAAATTCATGAAGCAAAACTGACAGGCTTGAAGGGAAAAAAAGGTAATTCAACAGTAACAGAAAATTCAATACTTCACTTTCAATAATGGATAGAACAATGAGGCATGAGATCAACAAGAGAACAGAAGACTTCAACGACACGGTAAACCAACTAGGCCTAACAAACATCTGCAGGATGCTTTCAACAACAGCAGAATCTTTACATTCTTCTGAAGTGCACATGGAACATTCTGCAGTATAGATTAGATGGAAGGTCAGAAAGCAAGCCTCAATGGGTTTAGAAGTATTGAAATCACACGAAGTATGCTCTGTGACCACAGCAAACTGAAATTAGGAAGGAATAACAAATTTGGGGAATTTACAATTATGTGGAAATTAAACACACTCCTAAATAAGTACTGGATCAAAGAAGAAATCACAAGGGAAATTAGAAAAATTCTTTGAGGTGAATGGAAATGAAAAGAATGTAACAAAATTTATGAGATGTAACTAAAGTAGTTGTCAGAAGGAAATTTTTATCTGCAAGCAACTACATTAAAAAAGAAGAAAAACCTGAAATTAATATCCTAACCTTCCACCTATAAATACTGGGAAAAGTGGAGCAAACTAAAGCCAAAGCAGACAGACTGAAGGAAATAAAAATTAGAGCAGAAATTAATGAAAATAGAAAAACAATACAATCAGTGCACCTAAAATTTTGACTTTGAAAAATCTACAAAATAAACCTTGAGCTAAATTAATTCAGGATAAAAGAGCTCAAATTACTAAAATCAGGAACGAGCACAAGAAAATGATAATAATAATAATAAGGGTGGGAGGAAACTCTGGAAGTTGTTGAATATGTTTATGGCCTTAATGATGGTGATAGTTTCATTAGTTTATACTTACTCCCGCTCATCAAATTGTACAGACTATGTACAGCTTTTGCATGTCAATCATACCTTAATACAGTGGTTTAAAATAAAAAGAAAGAACTCCATAGGCAATAGAATAAAAAAGAATAAAATTCTTAGGTATAAATTTAACAAAAGAAGTGCAAATCTCATACTCTGAAAACTACAAAACATGGTTGAAAGGAAACAAAGAAGACAATATTCATGGATTGGAAGACTTAAGGTGGTAATTCTCCCCAAACTCATCTACAGATTAAATGCAATCCCTACCAAAATCTCGGCTAGCTTATTTGCATAAATTGACAACATGGTCTCTAAAATTCATACAGAAATTCAAGGGACCTAGACTATCAATCTTGAAAAAGTTGGAAAACTCACACTTCTTCATTTAAAATCTTACTAGAAAGGTACAGAGGGACAGCAGCCAAGATGGCAGAGTAAAAGGACCCTAAGCTCACCTCCTCTCAGGAGCACACAAAAATAACAAAAATCTGCAGAACAACCATCATTTAAAAAGACTGAAACCTACCAGAAAATATCATTTAAAAAGACAAACCTACCAGAAAATATCCTCTATAGCTAAAGACATAAAGAAGGAACCACAATGAGACTGGTAGGAGGGGCAGACTCATAATATAATCAAATCTCATCCCCCCTGCGTGGGTGATCCACAAACTGGAGAATAATTATATTACAGAGGTTCTCCCACAGGAATGAGTGTTCTGAGCCCCAGCCTGGGGTTCCAGCACTGTGAAGAGAAGTTCCCAGAGCATTCAGTTTTGAAGGCCAGCGGGGCTTAGTTGCAGGAGCCCCACAGGATTGGGGGAAATAGAGACTTCACTCCTATAGGGCACACAAAATCTCATGCATACCAGGACCAAGGGCAAAAGCAGTAATTTGATAGGTGCCTGGGCCAGACCTACCTGCCGGTCTTGAAGCATCTCCTGGAGAGGTGGGGGGCAGCTCTTGCCCACCATGGGGACATAGACACTGATGGCAGAGATATGGGGGAGTGTTCATCTATATGAACTCTCACTGGAGGGAGACATCTTGCTTGGGTCATTAGCACCAAGACCTGGCCCCACCCAACAACCTGTAGGCTCTAGTGCTGGAATTCCTCAGGCCAAACAACAAACTGAGTGGGGACACAGCCCCACCCATCAGCAGACAGGCTCCTAAAGACTTGCTGAGCCCACAGACACCTCTAGACACGCCCCTAGACGTGGCCCTGCCCACCAGAGGACCAAGACCAACTCCAGCCCCTTGGGGGCAGGCACCAGCCCCTCCTGCTTAGAAGCCTGCACAAGTCTCTAGACCAGACCAGCTTCAACCACCAGGGGGCAGACACCAGAAGCAAGAAAACTAAAGTCCTACAGGATGCAGACAGAGTCCACAAATGCAGGCCAGACACTATCCTGGGACCAGCTGGTCCCTAGCCATTGGGTGATAAGAGGGGAGTACACTGCTGGGATGCATAGGACATCTCCTACAGAGGGCCACTTCTCCAAGGTTGAGAAACATAAAAGGACTGCACTCTTAAAGGGCATGCACAAAATCTCACACACTCTGGGACCCAGTGCAAAAGCAGTGGTTTGAAAGGAGCCTGGGTGAGACCTAACCTGCTTATGTTAGAGAGTTTACTAGAAAGGCAGGAGGCAACTGAGCTCACCCTAGAGACATAGACACTGGGGCAGCCATTTGAGGGAGCTCATTCTACCACGTGGACACTGGTGCTTGTAAGCGCCAACTTGGAATCTTCCCTCTAGCTCATAAGCCTCAGGACCCAGCCCTGCCCCCACACACCAGTCTATAGTCACCAACACTGGGACAACTCAGTAAGCAGGGACAAAGCCCCCTGTACACACACACCAGCATAGAAGCTGCCTTAAGACTCACTGAGCCCACAGCCTCCCCTGGACATGACCCTGCCACCAGAGGGCCAAGGAACTTGTCCCCACACACCAGTGTGCAGGCCTAGACCTGGGACCCCAGGGCCCTGCAACCAGAGACACTAGCATCCAGATCCACGTACCAGTGGGCAGGCACCAACCCCAGAATCCCTGGCCTCACTCACCCATGAACCTGCTCTAGCCTTGGGATCAGTCTCACAGACCAGAGGGCAGACACCAGCCCCAGGACAACTGCAGCCCCACAGCCTGTGGACCCAGCCCACCCACCAACAGCCCAGCCCCAGCCCTGGGACTGGCTGGGCCCTGGCCCTGCCCACCAGCAGGTGAACACAAGCTTCAGAATACCCCAGACCCCACACCCAGGGGTGTCAGGAACCACTCCCATCCAATAACAGCTCTGGGACACCCTGGGCCTTGCAGGCAGAACTCAGGACATCGCTCTGCCTATGGGTAGGTCATCACTAGCTCCAGAACATGGCTTCACCCACCA